AAATTAGGAGAAAGAGTATTTAACTGTGAAGTTCTACTGACTTCGTTAGAAAGCCAGAGATTCTATCCAGCGCCGGCCGTACTTTAGACCTTTAATAGCTTCGCCGTTAGTTAGCGTTAAGGGCCCAACTCAGTTAGAATCCTGATACCTTCGGCTATATCTTTTTAGTTAAGATTAGTTAAATTTTACTTCTTAGTTTCCTGAGTTCAAGCCCGAATGGAGGCTTTATTGTAAACTCCACGAAGGAGTCTTCTTTGAACTTTATTTGGAATAATCCTTCTGGAGTATACGTTCTCTGTCGACTGAACTAAAGCAATTATTCGCTTACCAGTTCTCGACGTTCCAGACGCATTGCAGTAACGTCTAGGTTTGGAATTTCACAAATCAAAAATGCCCCGTCGAAAAGAGATTTGTGAGACCCTTTTGGATGCCTCTTGAAAAGAGAAAATAATTCCTAAGAAAACTGTATTTTGGGGATTTAATTTTAATGCAGTTGAATTTTTGATCCAATTTTCGGAAATCACAAGGGTTCGATCATGAGACGCAAACAAAAGTTCTTCGTCATGTACTACAAACAAACTTATTGCAAATTTTAGTGTGCAAATAGCTCTGGTAGAATCCATAATAATAGTAAAAATATAAGGATTGTTAAAATGAAAAGGTATGAAAAGTCGCAACAATCGAATATGCTGCTTTGGCATAATGTAATGTTCTGCGTGGTTGTGCGCATGCGTGGTAACCGCACATGACGCAGGAGAACAGTAGGCATGGACCTTATAAGAAGTAGACTAACCCAAACGGGTTTTCTCCCTCGTCTGAGGCGTTGCCGGCTGTCACCTTGATCACATCCGGAGGAGTAGGGACGACTTGCAGAAATTTAAACATTGGTTGACTATTGCAGCGTGTATAATTATCAAGAAAAAGCTGTATGTAGCGCCTCATTTCACAAATTAGAATTTCTATATATTTTTATTTTTGAAATTGAGATTGATTCTTAAAACTTTAGTATATTTATCAAGCATAATTAACGTTCCAAATAATTATAAAGCTATTGCATGCTTTCAGGGCTGGATATTTTTTTAGCTTTTCCTATGCTGTTAGGAAAATTGTAAGTACTTCGTTTAGAAAATAATATTTTAAACCTGAACTAATAGAAATTTTCAAACAAGCAATTTTCTTTTGCAATTTTTATGCTTTTCATTGGTGTAAATAAGTAAAAAGCACTAAAATATTTCAAAACGAATTTTTGAAAGTTTTGCTTAAAATTCTAAATTGTGCTGTTTTTTTTTTTTTTTTTTTTTTTTTTTTTTTTAAATTATAGATGAGTATTACAGCACAATTTATTATCTTTATTTTATCTTTTTTTTCTCCCTTCATTACGCTTAGAAAATTTTATGCTCCGAATTTTATGAATTATTAAAATAACTAATCCACTTTAATGTTAATAATTTAATGATCATATAATCAAATAAATATGATCGTTTTGTAATGTTATTATAGTTTGGAAAATCACTGCCTGAAACTTTTCATTAAATTAAAAAAAAAAAAAAATTATCAGATCTTGTTTAATTTTACCTTATTTATTTCAAAGCATCACGTACTAACAACGTTATTTAATTTTTCTTTATTTTTACGTAAAATTAAAATCATAAATTTTGTGCTTAGGGTTTTTACCGTATTATCAAAGTAAAGATGTTTGTACAAGAATTACGCGTGAAAAGAATGCGCGAAATGCAGTAAAAAGTGCTTTAATGAGATATATTAAATCCTACCTGGAAAAAACTGTGGCTTTTATAATCTCATCACTATTCAACGTGTCACATTTAATAATTAAAAAGAGTTATGTGAAACAAACGCTATAGGTTTCAATGTTAAAGTAAACCAGATCGTCCCTACTCTTTCTTGCCGACATGTTGGTGACGCGCGCCCCGCCCACTGGGTTAGTCTATTTCTTATAAGGTCCATGACAGTAGGCAGTTGTGTGTTCCGTCCAATTGATGAGCCAGTGCTTCTGATGACATCATAGCGTTCACAATGCAAAATCCGACGACTAAGAAGCAGCGAGGGTTTTCAGATTTCTGGCTGTGGAAGAGGTTAAAAAACGGCCGATGGTCATCACCGGATGCATATTTCATAAGTGCACATCTGTATAGCCACCGAGGGAGTGGTTTCTAGGATGGACCAATAGGCATCCAGTAATATTTCTGTCATGTTACATGACCTTTCGTGTGCTTTAAGATTTAAGCAAGATGGTTGAAAAGATTATGCCACGTAATTTTATCTGTACAAAATAATTAAAGCATCGTCGATTTCTTCTGAAACTTTTCATTGCGAAATTCGATCAAATATAAGCAATTGTGAAGATTTCACTACCTGGTTGAAAGAATTTGAAATAAATACAAATACATGTTGGATACTTCGCAAAAATATCCATGTGAGATATTACTTAATAAGTGGCAATTAATATGAAGAAAGAAATATGTGATAAACATCTGAGCCCAAAATGCTATCGTTACATAAAACTATGCATATATGAGAAAAATATTTACACAAATTACATATGTAAATAGAAATCAGAACTTTTTATTGCAGGATATATGAAAAAGATGTTCTAATAACCAATGCAGAATTTTATTGAAAGTGAACTTTACTAATTTCTATTCGTATACATTTTGTTACGTTAAATTTCACATTTAATAACTGCTCACTCTTACATGTACTGTCTAAACAAGAAATGCTCATCAAACTGAATGAATTTAGCTTATTCACAACGAATATATTTAAATTATTTACATATTAACTATTACTGTTAATAATGAATATAATCAGATCATACACAATATGTATTCTGAATCTTACACTTTAAAATTCAAATGCAAGCACTGAAATAAGAAAACACTAAATTCATTGTAACACTTCCAGTCCCAAAAATTATGCACTTGAATTCTCTTAATCCACAGCTGTTAGTAAATGCATAATATTCCAGGCTAACTGTAGCTTGAATCATTTTCTCGATGTTAAAGAGCGATAATACGCGTGAACATCAATCCAAATATTAATGCGTGATAAAAATCGCGAAAGTGAAATGTCAGCGATTAATCAAACTCATAAAACGAAAGCACTACGAGATTTTCTGCTATTACACCATACATTTATAACTCCGAAAAAATACAAAGTAAAACGTAAACAGCATACGCCCACAGGCTCGTAGATTTAGCGTCACAAGAGCAGTAGAAGCTCATTGGTCAGTTTTCGAAACCCCTCCCTCAGTTGCTATGCTAATGTGCGCTTGTGAAATATGCTCACCGGATGGTGGCCGTATACGGAGAAGACTGTGCGTCCGAGAAGTCAGTGAGCAAGCGGAGTGCCAATTTTCGTAAGGCATTTAGTGTCTGAGTGATTAAGTAAAGCGTAAGATTTCGTAAGGCTTTCGTAGATTAAGATTTCGTAATGCATTAGCTCCGAGACCAGACCAGGCAAACAGGTATTCATAGCCGAACTCATCGACAAGGCGAACGACCTGGTGAGAAATGGCATCTCAAAGAGAAGCGCTTCAACTCGGACGCGAAATAAAAGACACAGTGGAGGACTGGCTCCTGTCACAGCTACAGAAATTCTGAGAAGAGGGAATCTTTTGGTTCGTGAAACAGTGGGAGAGTTGTGCTCAGGCCTCTTGTGGTTGCTTATGAATAAAGACTGCAATATATCCATAGTTTCATTTCGTATCTTTTCATTTGAACATCCCTAATAGTAAAAAATCTGTCTCTCTATAACTTTCCTGAAGCACGGATACCTGAGTCTGCATTTAAATTTGTTCCTAAGATGAAGAAATTTCTAGATTTCTTCCTTGCTATTTGTTGGAAACTTTGCGTTTTCCCTTGTGTCTGGGCAGTACTGAAAAGGAAGAGAAATGCAACGGTATTTGATCCCCAATATAAGCCAGAGCTGGTGGCTATAGTCGAGCTTTTAGCTGTAGCTCTGGTCATCGTTTCGAGGCACGGAATGCTGACGCTGATGTAGCTGTCAAAGATACCAGAGGAGTGCATTAGAGAGCATTAGGAGTGCATTAGCTAATAAGTTCTAGCCATTATCTACTATGTAGTAACGTATCGACTTGTAGTCAAGTAGCTGACAGCATAGTGTAATGCCCAGTGGATCCGACAGACATGACGCAGCAATTGTCGACACCTGTTTACCTCATCTTGTTTTTCATATATCATGGGTTAATATACGTTTGTTTATCTATCCTGTGAAGCTAAAAAAAGGCCAATTAAATGTTCTGTTATTCATCTATATCTGGTGTTCTCCATGATGCGTAGTTCCGTTATATCACTTTCAACTTCCAGCGCTATTAAAATGTTTGACTTATTCTCCACATTAAAACTCTTAAGGGGTATCAGAAACGCCTATACCGACAATGTTAAATTGGCCATTTTAGATGTACCTTTTCTCAAAATCTGCTGTAGATACAAGCTTGAAACTTTTTCTGTAATTAAAGTATACCTATTTGATTATACTGAAATGAGCTTTTGAAACATTTTTGAATTTTAGAGTAAATTACAGGATATTTTCTTAGGCATAGTAAAATTTAGCACTTTTCTCACACAAAAAAATTAAATTTTTTTTCTAAGTTTATTACAAAAAGCTCGTTTCAGTAAATATTAGGGAACCTAATAAATAAGCCATAAAAAGTTTAGATACCTGTGAGCAGTAGTTCCTGAGAAAAGGTACATCGAGTATAAAAAAATCACGTTTGGAGAAAAACGCGTTTTTATGTAAAAATCCTCGTTGATCAAAGCAGTTGATGACAAATTAAAACTAGGTTTTTTTTTTACAGTTCTAATTTTCATAGAGATTAAGGAATGGTATTTTTAGAAAGATAAAAGTGAAGAGAATTTGAAAATGCAAAAATCCGAAATCACAATTTTTTGAAGATTTTGGGGTCCCAACACCCCTCAATTTCATTATAAAATTTTGCTTATTAAATAGTTTTCACTTACCTCATATCAGGTGGAATTACTCTGAAAAAAAAAAGAAATAAAATTTATTGTATATCCTCTCTACATATATTTCTGGTAACAGCAAAATACATCTTTAATTAATAGAAATTATCCATTTAGGAAGCATATGCAGTACATATGTATATTTATTTGATCTGATTATAAGGAATAAAGGAATTATCCCTCTGCGTTATTGTGGTGTGCTTTTCTAGCTAGCAACAAAAAGATGCATGTTTTTATTTCCGGCGAAGGAGTAGCTGATGTTTTACGTAGCTCTTGCCGTAAAGTAGTCCTTAGCGATTCCCTAATGATAGTGATAACCATAGCAATAGATGGAATGAATATACAGTTTTTGTAGGTATTTATAAAAGTTCAGCTCTAAATTACTAAGTAAACATAGAAAATCTGTGTGCACTAACAAGCAGACACTGTACGTATAGTGAGTAGGAAAAAAAATCAGCTCCTATGTCTCCACTACTAGTCGGCAGATTTTACCAAATTCAACTTGCATTTTCCATGTCTGGCATATGATAGAACATTCTGATATGTAAAGTTCGACTCTGTATTAGCTTTACATATCAGAATGTTCTATCATATGTATTTTAACACAAAATCGGAACTTTTTCTGGAATGGCATGCCATTTTTCATGTAGTTCGATGTTATGTTTCAAATTAAGCTAAAGTGCAAAAAACTAAACGAACAGCACATATGAAATTCAGATATAAAAAGTGCTTGAAGACGAATTCAGACTTGGCGTTGGATTAAGATTCTAAATCTGATAATCATTCCGTTTTATACTACCTATAGGTTCTTTTCACTTGTATTTCTCTTTTGTTTTATTTCTTTTCCGAACGAAATTTAACAAAATGAAATAAATTTTAGTCCGATTCATTCTTTTAATTTTGATTTCACTTTCATTCATCACTTTCACCAGTTAAGAGAATTTCCTTTTTATTTTTGTTGCTATACTAATAGGATCAGTTAATCAACAGAAAGATTTAATTCTTGAATAAAGTTTTCTTTTCCCGATTAACGAAAATCAATTTAATTTGTTAAAAAATACGTAAATAAGTAGTGTGTACGCTAATATGTACGCTAGACTAATAGACGAACGGCGCTGCGCGTCTAACCAAATTTGACGATGGATCTAAATTTCTATATGTACGGTTCAGGGGTATTTCTGTCTAAATCAACATTCAATCTAGTTTTAAAGGGAATTTATTAAAATACCAAACAAATTAATCTAATATAGAATCTATCTAACATTTCATCAGCGGCATTCGAGCTGTATTCAAATCGAAAATCAAGTTCAGACTGTTGCCATTCCGAGGCAGAGTAAAGTTTCTATTCAAACCGGAACAAGCAGTTTTACGTTTCACTTAAGGTAGAAATTTATTAATAGATATTGTTGCTTGGGTACGTGTTCGTAATAAATAGAATGCACAACTCCGATGAAAAGTAAATAAAATTCATTCTTAACACAGCACACAAAACAAAATGCTGCAATTTCCTCAGAAATATTCGCACAATATCGCAATATCTCACAGTAGTTATATTTTAAACTACTAAAACGTTGAATAGAACTCAATTCAAAACAGAGAACGCCATCCGTTCTCACCACGAATTCACTGCAATCAACAGCAAGAACTAAGTAAACAACTGAATTGAGATGTTTTGATCCTACTTTTATAAGCGTTTTAATCATGCACGAGAATATTCTGGTATTTTCTCGATTTTTCGGGATAGCAAAAGAGTACAATTACGAGATATCTATTTATTAAAATGTTAAATGCGCGCGCTCTTGTATTTTTGCTTTTTCGGCATAGCTTTCTCTTAAAACTCGTTACGCAGCATTCACGGGAAAATGAAACAATTGAGATACATTCCGCAAGAGAAGGAATGACCTTGCTTGTTTGCATTAGCTGTACATAAGTCACGTGATCTCTGAGGTCATCTGCACTGTTTGTTTACAAAAGGTATACATAAGTCACGTGATCTATGAGGTCAGCGGAAAGTATCTCGTTACAATTTTGCTAAAATAGCAAACTAAATCCAAAAACCGTAACAATATTTAATAAAGGTATTTAGCATGTAAGCATTTACAGCATCTGTAAATATTTTTGGGTATAAGAAATCCAGCGAGCGCTCTCATTTTTGTCTCTTGAGAACACCGTCTTACGAATTAAATCAACATTCGTATTTTTAGAAACTTGAAGAATAAACTTGAAGATTCTTGAACTACTTGAAGATAAATAACGTTATTTTTTCACAACGGATCAAGGGCAATTTTAGCCTGAATGGAACAATGTGATAACAAAAAACAAAACTATTTCTAGTAGCACCGAGTTGGCATCTTTTTTAAAATGAAATAATCCGTTTACTATACGAAAAAGAGCATATTCTTTGGAACTGCACGTGTGAGCATTTCATAAAATTTAGATTTCAATTTTATGCTGTCGATATAAGCTAACATTTACCTCAAAACTACACCAGATATTTCTGAGGTAGGAATGTTCTTTTATAACTTACCTCAACGGAGCAAAAAATGCAACGCTGTTATCTGCATCGTATTGGGATTCCGTCATCCAGCGGCGCCCTTCCAATACATCCCTAAATTGTGAAAGAGATTGCAAAGTATGTAGTAGCTAGAAAAGTGAAAAAAATATTTGAATTCGCATACAAAAGGTATTTTGGTAAATCTTCGGAATATAGTAACTTGGCGATTTTTTGGCGAAAATTTGGCGACCGAACCTGTTACAGCAACCTGCTAGTTTTTTTTTTTTTTTTTTTTTTTTGGACGCCATTTTGTTTTCACGAAGTAAAGGCATTTTTAGTCCAAAGGGATTTGAATCCCGAAGGACTATTAGTTTCGTTTAGCATTTTGCGTCGGACTCATAAATGTCGGTTCACTTTTCAAACTGTTGCCACAAAATGTTACAGTCCTGCATTATATTTGAAGAAATTAAATAATGAAAAATCTGCATAAATGTATGTATATTTCTCGTATTGTGATAAAACAACGGTACATAGAGTCATCGAATTTTGAATAACGTAATCCTCCAACGAATATGAGCATGTGGAAGACCAAATTTGAAATTTGTTTTATGATCGATTTCCTATTTTTTAAAACTTTGACGAATTTTTGATTAACAAACTCAAGGATTTCAAAGCGAGCAATGGCAACGTTGTGCATCGATTTCCTATTTTTTAAAACTTTGACGAATTTTTGATTAACAAACTCAAGGATTTCAAAGCGAGCAATGGCAACGTTGTGCAGAAAAAACATTTTTATCTCCAGCGCGTGAGTCTCTGTATCGGAAATTCTAAAGATATGCTCTTTTTTTTTTTTTTTTTTTTTTTTTTTTTTTAACTCAACATTTTTTTCTAACAATCTGCTAGCCGAATTACGCTTATGCTAGAACTCTTACGGAACAAAAGTGTTTAATCATGACGAAGATTAGGTGCGAAATTGGGAGAAAATGCAGAATCAGCCACTGCTTCGCGTTTTTAAGAATTGCACATACGCGGTATCCATTTAAACGTCGACCTATTTTCACTTAAAAAACATCACAGAATTTCACAAAAATGGCATTGCGCACACTCTTGACTTTATCCGTGTACACATCGACCTATTTTTCACTTAAAAAGTCAAAGAAAATTGACAAAAATCCAGTTCTTCTTACTCTTGTAAAAAGCGTCAAACAAATACGTGGGCGCTTCTGCACTTTAGCAGCGAAATTGTTTCTAAGTGCTTATTAGCTAAAATCATGATCGGAATTTTCCGGAAAATGTCTCATGACATGTCTCATGATCTCTCATTTCTCCGAGACAAAATAATCTGTGATTCGAACTGTGTACTTCTCAGATTATTGCTAAAGTCCTACCTAGTAACCTTTATCGCCTTACCAAAATGTAGCCAAACTATCTGTTACCATATTCCAAAGATTAGCCGGTATTTTTAATTTGTCAACCAGTTGACTAATTTCTTTCTTTCAATCCCGTCTTGTTTCCAGCTATGCCCGAGAGCTTCGTAAACATGAAGAAGGAAATGTTAAATATATAAAATACGTGTAGGACTGAATAGGCTGAGTTACTAGAAATTTATTGAGATTGCAAGGATTATGTTAATTTATCTAACAGTTAAAATTTTGAGTTAAAGTTACTTTCCTATCGCTTCTTAATTTCACTTTTACAACTTCCGGCCAGAACGTATTTTCAGAATCACGTTTGACTGCGAATGAGGAGAAGTATTTAAATGTGAAGTTCTACTGATTTCGTTAGAGAGAACCAGTGATTCTGACTAGCGCGCGTCCGTCTTTTTAGGCTACTCTCTCTTAAGCTATTATTACGCTTGGCGGTACTTTAGACCCTTAATAACTTCGCCGTTATTTAGCATTAAGGGGGCAACTCTGTTAGAATCTTGATACCTTTGGCTATATCTTTTTAGTTAAGGGGTATCAGAAACGCCTATACCGACAATGTTAAATTGGCCATTTTCGATGTACCTTTTCTCAAAATCTGCTGTAGATACAAGCTTGAAATTTTTTCTGTAATTAAAGTATACCTATATGATTATACTGAAATGAGCTTTTGAAACATTTTGAATTTTAGAGTAAATTACAGGATATTGTGTTAGGCATAGTAAAATTTAGCACTTTTCTCACACAAAAAAAAAATTAAAAAAAATTTTTTTTTCAAAAAAGCTTATTTCAGTAAATATTGGGGAACCTAACAAATAAGCCATAAAAAGTTTAGATACCTGTGAGCAGTAGTTCCTGAGAAAAGGTACATCGAATGTAAAAAAATCACGTTTGGAGGAAAACGCGTTTTTATGTAAAAATCCTCATTGATCAAAGCAGTAGATGACAAATTAAAACTAGATTTTTTACAGTTCTAATTTTCATAGCGATTAAAGAATGGTATTTTTAGAAAGATAAAAGTGTAGAGAATTTTAAAATGCAAAAATCCGAAATCAAAATTTTTTGAAAATTTTGGAGTTCCAACTCCCCTTAAGATTAGTTAAGTTAATTTCTTAGTTTTTGAGTTCACGGCCGAGTGGAGGCCTAATTGTAAAACTCCAAGGAGGAGTTCTGTGAAATTAATTTGGAATAATAAAGGGTCTTTTACCCTTCCCAACTTTTATTTTCTGTCTCACGAACTGAAGCGATTATTCGCTTACCAGTTCTTAAGATTCGTCAACTTTAACTGTAACTTAAGAGTACACAGCTTAGAATCTTACAAGACCATTCACTTTTTGTTTATATTTTAATCTCATATTTGGCAAACTTAGTTCATGCTTCGGACTTTAAAATACGAGTATAATAATTAGTATATTGAAGAGACAGTATATTAACATTATTATTAAGATGTCAAACAAGTGGAGATTTCAGACAACATATTAACATTATTATTAAGATGTCAAACAAGTGGAGATTTCAGACAACATATTAACATTATTATTAAGATGCCAAACAAGTGGAGATTTCAGACAGCATATTAACATTATTATTAAGATGTCAAACAAGTGGAGATTTCAGACAACATATTAACATTATTATTAAGATGTCAAACAAATGGAGATTTTAGTCAGGACTATCGATTTCGAAAAACAAAAACAAGTTCCTCTTCCTTAGGAGCAAAGAAAACTGCAACAACGGCAAAGCAACGATTGTATGTAAATACTTATATCCAAAGTAAACGAGAAGGTTGAGCCATCTGTCGGCAAAAATAGTAATATTAAAAATTAAAAAAAATAAAAAATAAAAAGTTATAAGGTATTTCTCCCGCTTTCCTAGCTTGCTTTCGTGGTGTAATGGTCAGTACACTGAGCCGCTATTTTAGAGGTCCGTGGTTCGATTCCCGGCGAAGGCGATTGCATATTTTTCATCTCTCTTGCTTCCAAAAAAAATCCTAATCCTCTCTACAAAGTTAAAAAAATTAAAAGTGAATAGAAATTTAATTAGAACAAATGTTCTAAAAATTTGAATGATTTGGAACTGCCAATTAGGCTGTTTATTCTGATACGTTTCCCTTTCATTCTAGAAAGATCCGAAAAGCAGAATTATTTCATCAGCCATTTTGGATTTTTCATCCATATTTGAAGATGAAGTGTGTCTCAATTTTAATAACATATTAAGGCTTCTCTTATTTAAGAACAATATTAAATGTTTTAGTTGTTAATCAAAGAAAAACTTCTATTTCAAGTAGTATCTAGAAATACTTGCCAGCAGAAATGGCTCTAAAATATATTTTAAACTAAATCTTACCGTTTCATTAGAATGATGGAAAGGCCGATAATGACGACGAATTGGGCTGTGGGTATCGGATAAAGGATGAGAAATGTTATTTTCATTGCAGCACTTAAAAAATTCAACTTTAGAAAAGTTAGAGCCTGATAAACGTGGAAGAAAAAAGCGACATCCTTGGATTTTTTCACCTGTGAGTGTTCTCATTTAAAATGTTAAATTCTGCATTAAAAATCCTGCTCTTATGCGGACACAAGATTTTTACAATGACGTTTACAATTACGTCGGTCAACAGTTGCAGTTAATTCAATCAGAAACATTTCACGGGCCTGTTTTGCATTAAAGGCTTGAAATAATTGATAATACCAGCCAGAAAGCTTACTGAATCCTGAACTCAAGTCGAGATTTTTCGATTAAATTACTACTACCTGAACAGGTATAATTTCTGTTTAAACAGATATTAAAACAGAGATTTTCCCCTTTAAGAAAATATTAAAACAGAGATTTTCTATTAGTTAGAGTCTAATTTAGATACTCTTAACTTTGGGCAAATGAAAATTGTTTTAATTTAAAGCATCACCACACAGTTATCATTTAATATTTAACATTCTTTGTATATAATAATAAAATAATATAAATCAAACATATAATACTCACGTAATAAAATAATATCTATCATTTATCACAAAAAGCTCATTTCAGTAAATATTAGGAAACCTAATAATAAGCCATAAAAGTTTAGATACCTGTGAGCAGTAGTTCCTGAGAAAGGGACATCGAGTATAAAAAATCACGTTTGGAGAAAAACGCGTTTTTATGTAAAAAATCCTCATTGATCGAAGCAGTAGATGACAAATTAAAACTAGATTTTTACAGTTCTAATATTCATAGATATTAAAGAATGGTATTTTTAGAAAGATAAAAGTGTAGAGAATTTGAAATGCAAAAATCCGAAATCACAATTTTTTGAAGATTTTGTGGTTCCAACACCCCTTAAAAAATCCCTTCGAGCTTATATAAAATCTGAAAGCTTTCAGATTTTGCTTTAATATTATTTAAGTATTGCTCTTTGCTCAGAGTTATGTTATGGCAACAACCTAGGCAAGAACCGAAATTAAAGAAGCGGGGCGTATGGGAGTCATTACGGCTAATCTAATAGGCAAACGTGTAATCTTCAGAGTATCTCCCGAACAGTTAAATGACCTCTTAACTTTGACCGTCGCTTAATTCCATGACACTTCTCTCCTAAGATTTATGCGAGAAGGCTGATCTAAGTAAAGAGCTGCTCCAGTAAATAGATTAAACTGTCTCCTGGGGAGATGTCTGGAAGCACATTTTTCTGAAGAGCCAATGAATGCCTTCTCCTCAGATGCATTTTATGGAGTCCAAAGATATTTGTCTGTGCCAGCAATAAAACGGATAAAAACAAAGGAGAAGAGTCTTGCGGCGATGTTACTACCGTAGTTATTTATCATCATTCATTTTATTGTATGTTCGACTCATATCCTATATCTCTTAAGTGTTAGATTAGCTATCTGTCATCTAAACTGTTTGGAACTGAGGGAAGGTAATTCGCAATTTTTTTCTAACACAACGCACAAATTTGGCTGCTGCGACGATTCGGACTTCACTTCAGCTAATATAGTACATTTTTAAAAAATCTGATGTGTACACAGCATGACTTCCTTGTACGGAATATTAAATTATACGCATTTTTTTCTTGCATTTCATTTAAACTTATTGGATTGAAATAAATTTACTTCGCCGACAGCACATAAACCACAATAGAATAAATGCATTCTTTAAAATTTACTCTATTTGTTTACCATAGCGACACTCTGGCGCTAGGTTCACTTAACAGTATTATATTTCGCTCATATTATAACTCAGAACGCAAAAATTTATATCATTTAAAGAATTATCTAATCGTTCCCACATGTTCTATTCAAATACTATAATAAAGCTAGAACAATGTATCAAAGAAATTAAGCAAACAAAACAAAAAAGAAACAGTTTTTCAAATACGATTGAGTATTTCTCATTGAATTAATTAAGTTCTCACTTCGCGACAAGGGAAAAATGCATAAAAACTCAAAATATCTGTATTAAAAATTACGAAGTAAATCTTAAACACTTACTTCCTCGAAAAAATTCCACAAAGGATTAAGCATGATTTAATTCGCAATAATAAATAAAGGCGTTTATCTTTGTTGTTGCGAAGTTAAGTTTCTCTAGACTGGCAACAAATCCAATATTCTGCTGTTTCAAATGTAAACAAGCAATGGCCGCCATAAAAAAAAATATTAGGCTTAGCGGCACTTAAACAACTTTAAAATTGTTGATAATTCTAAACATATTGCATACAGATTTACTAAATGCATAAAAACCTTACCCGGAAGATAAGAACAACATAATTGAATCATTTTTAAAGCAAAAAATTTACAAATTACAAACATATAGAGTAAAGAAACTGAGATCACTGAGCCGGGTAACGAGTGGATGTATATATAATATATTTATATACGTTTGGTGCTGCCGATTGCAACCAAAATACGAGGTGCCACATCTACATATTATAGCAGTCCTATATACAAAATTTCAACGCTCTGAGGCAAGTCGTTTTTGAGTTATGCGAGATACGTACGTACGTACATACGTTCGTACAGACGCCACGAAAAATTTTCTTCAGAATTCAATTTAAAGCAGTTTTATAATTTTTTTGGGAGGAAAAGAGTCTTTTATTCTGTTCTTACGTACAGATAAAATATCGTTAAATTGCGTTCGAAAAAAAATATCGTTAAATTGCGTTCGAAAGCCGTCAAAATGGATATTTTCGTTGAAATATGCTGCTTGAAACTTTGCGCGATTACAATATTTCCTTATTACTTCATACATGGAAGTAAAAAAAGGAATTCTTTAAAATGCAAAAATTATCAATTCTTCACAAAGTTATCTAGATAAAAAAATAAATATTTATTGCCTATATTAATTTTAATTAATGTAACACAAAAAATAATTTTAAGTAATTTAAAATTACGTTAATAAAATCACTCAGAATTTCATTTTTAAATAATCGTAATCCTAGCATGCTGTGAGATATTATTTTGCCTATATTGTCCGTTAAAATATGAGGAAATAGCATCAAATTCGTTATTTCTAACATTATTTTATATCCAACATAAACCAGGCAAATAATTATCAACACAAAAACAACTAAGCCTAAGGAATTCTAGCACACACACACACACACACAAAAAAAAAAAAAAAAAAAAAAGCAAAAACAAAGCAAATGAAAAATAAAAATGATTTTTTGTTTACTTAGGAAGCTTAAACCCTTATTTTTTTAAGCACCAGCTCTCTCTGAACATACTACAGCAAACTATTATACCACTTTTAAATTAAAAGAAACATCGAAATTACGACCGAAAGTATCATCGAAGCATCCCAATATAACGAGCGAGTAAAAATTAGCAGATAAAAGAAAGGCACTGTAAGGTTTGGTTTATGTATTACGGCAAAGCCTCGAGAGCTATCTGCCTACGGAGAGGCATGTCTTCGTGTAGGACTTTCTAAGAAAAATCGCTCGTACAAACTTTACAAAGGTAAAAAACCATGAAAACGACCGTGCAACCAGTTCGTTCGCGGGATTCGAACGTCAGACTAAACTACTAGTGTTTAGAGACCTTACCGCTCGGCCATTAGTGGTCCTAGAACTCGGAGCGGAAAATTATAAGCTGAATCCTTCATGTAGTAGTAGCGACATGAATCTGTTTAAAGCATTGAAGGGATAACCGCGAAATCACAAGAAGGCAGAGATTGCTGTCTGCGCTGAAAGATGGGATTATTTTACAGATGGAATGGGAAGTAATAAGAATTAGGTTTCGTGAAATGAACTGGGCGAATCTACCAACAGCTGTTCATGTATTAGAAGAATTACAGGCATTTAATTTTGCTTTTAACAGATGTATTAGAATACAGCCATATTTTTCATAAATATTAGATTTTTCTCCTAAGAGATAATTGAAGCCAACCTCTGAACGGCAAAGCCGTATATATACTGCGTAAAATATTTTTTGTAATGACTGTAAGAATGTATATATAGAAACACCTTGAAATATATCCAAGAAATTAGGAAAATATATAAAAGTACACAAATTTAGGTATAAATTATCAAGGGCGTTTGGGCATCAAAACTCAGAAAATACCTCTTCTCATGGCCAGTAGGTTTCGCAAATTTGTATTTCTTAGCGAAACCCCGTGCCAGTCAGAGTGTAAGAAGAAAGAATGCTTGCCAAAAAACGCTTGTTTGTCTTTCAAAATAGTTATTAATAAATTATCTAAAATATTTATTAATAAATTCGCCTTAATCCCAGATTAAGGTTAAGATTTGCCACTCTTTAAAGAAACCATTTATAATCTGTTACGAAATCAGCAACAACCAGCCTTCGTCTGGCTTTTAAATGTATCGTAAAAATGCCTAAAGGGAACAACAAACGTTAAATTTAAAAACTGAGCAAAATTTTACTCTGTACAACAACTTCATAAATAAAATCAATAAAAATGTATTACATATTAAAAAAATTACAATGAAATAAGCAATATCCCTTAATACAAATATTAATTAGATATTATATATAGATCTATATATAATATCTAATAAATAATGATATTTATATAGTTTATTTATTAGGATAATTAGGAAAATATATTAACCAACTTCTTAACATGCAAAATCTTAAGAATTCAATCGTATAACGGAAGTTAAGAACTTTGTTTCCTAAAAAAAATCATGCAAAACTTTTATGTAATTAAAATTAGATAACAGTCATCAGATGCGCGTCAGAATAAGATCGCGATGTGCTTTTTGCGTGTCCAAAAATCAAAAGAACAAAAAGCAGCACTTTATTTCATATTTTCAACAGTCAGTAGAAATCATGTAGAGTCATTAGATTAATTCGAAGCAGAAAAGATGAAAAGAATGCAACCGCCTTCGCCGGGAATCGAATCACGGATCTCTGGAATACTGGCCCAGCGTGCTACCGTTACACCACGAAGGCACGCTAGAGAAGTGGGAGAAATACCTTATAAGCATTGAACGAAAAACTGTTACCAAACCACATTTTAAAAAGAATGGAACTATTTTAAAAAGATAAATTTAACGATAAATTTAAAAAGATAAAATAAAAAAAACTGATTCGAATTTTGAAAAAATCGCTTCGAGGTGCGCTGGCTCTTGTCTAGATGCATCTATATACCAAATTTCGTAGCCCTGGGTTTATTATCGTACGCGCAGCACGAACGAAAGACACACAGGCTCTTTCTTTTATTATATGTAGAGATGAGTTATGATGTTGTTTCGTATTCTTTAAAAATGAATCTAAAATCGTCTGCCAGAAAAAAATTAAGAGACTCATTTTGATCTATAGTGATACGTTTTTAATGCTGCTTCACAACATAAACATAGCAATTTTTATCCTCCAAAACGAAATGCGAGGTGTGATCCAAAATGGCTGCTGTGGTGTTACGGTTTTCTGTGATTTCGAAGTTTCTGAAAGTGAATTAAATTTTTAATTAAACGATGTCAGTTCATGATTGTGAGCATGAACCGAATCCTGGCATGTTTAGATTGAAAAGATGATTTATAACTCACTTTGCTGTGGGATCATCAGCATGCCGGTTGTCATCTTGCAGCAGTATCACTTGAGTGGCTTCTTCCGTCTCTTTCTTCAGTTTATTGAGCCTAAAATTTTCAAAACTCTTGATATATTTCGAAAGTTCATTTCAATAAAGTTTGCTTTACTACAACAGAAACATTTAATATTCAAGTTCTGAAAGCATAATTATAGGGACTTAGTTTGCTCATTTACTAACATCTTTGCAGGGACTGTCAGAGATATATTTTGTAAGCTCCTACGAATCGCTTATATTTACAAAGGTCGTCATTTCAAATTTTATTTGTTACAGCATCAGATTGTTTTACTCATATTTTATTAATATAGAACCGAATTTCATAAATGTGTTCCGGTTATCACGAAAATATTTCTCTAATACTTATTTCTATGATTGACAGTTTATTTCTTCAACTGTTAATGAGGAATTAGCTTTCATCTAAGAATGCTGATTGAAGTAATTTTCCATATAGATATATGTGTTTCCTATAGATATATATATATATATATATATATATATGTAATAATAAGATTCCATAGTCAAGAATACACTTAAAATTCTAACTGTATGTTCTTTTCATTTTTAATGGCGACGTTCTCTTACTTGAAAGTACGTGGAATTAAATCCACAGACCCGTAGTCAAGTTGTTTTTCCCGCCTTTTCTACACATACAGTTATAGAATGTTCTGGAAATATTTAAAGCGAACTGGATTGGCTGACGTCATTTCTTTGAAGCTTCGCCTTTCCAGAGGCTATGAAAGGACTCGCAAAAGAATATCGGGGCCTTTTCTTAAATGTCACGATGCAGTCACGACTTCATACAAAATATTATTAGTAGTTCCTTTTTATTTACGCCGGATATCTGATTTTGTAACTGCTACTTATCCGGACCATTAATAAAGGGATCCTGATTTTTAAACTTATCGTCTGATAATTTAAGCTACGACTACATTTATGATTCTTCAACAATTTATTTATTTCTAAAGCTGGTACATCATATATATATATGCTTTTCTATGTCAAAAGCTGGTACATCATATATATATATATATATATATAATTGTGTGTGTGTGTGTGAGTGTGTGTTTGCTATATATATTGTGAACTAGCAGACGTACCCGATGCCAGTTAAGTTAGATTGACAGTAATGTACCTAACAACAGAGAGAACGACACCGCTGTAATCCTTCTCTAATAACGGTGCAAAAAATACGATTCATAATCAGACAGTTTTCCGTCTGATGTGATATGGAACCCACATAAAAAATTTCGATAGAAAAATAAGCTAGTTCTCTGTCATTATATCAGCAACAATAACACGCAGTTTTGACAAATTTTCGTCTTTCTTATCAAATAGTCATAAAAGCTCAAGTTCCTCACCTATATTCAATTTTAATTGATTAAATGTGGCAAAACATTGATCATAATTGATAAGAAATCAACAACTGTGGTCGTAAAAGCTAGAGTTCCATCCAATATTTCACCTATATTCAATTTTAGTCGATTCAGTGTGGCAAAAAATGGATCATAATTGATCAGAAATCAATAACGCGAACAAACAAACAGACATTTTTCTTTATATGCATAGATTTTGTAAAACTCATAAATTTTTTTTAACAAACTCTACGATTTGAAATTTTTTATTAACAAACTCTACGATTTGAAAGCGACTAGTGGCAACACTTTTCGAAATAAAGCATTTTCATCTTCAATGCGTGAGACTGTTGCCATTCCGAAAAATGAGTGCGAAAATGAGCGTTTTTAGAGTTTTTTAATTAATATTTTGGCTGATTAAAATCGTACGAAGTTGGGAACAGTCGAAATGGCTTCCACGAATTTTCGCAATTAGGAATAATGTATTAAATGTTTGGCAAGGCTAATTTTATTTCATTGTAAAACTTAAATTCTTTTTACTAAAAAACCATTTACCTACGATTTGAGAGCGAGCAGTGGCAACACTGCTCGAAATAAAGCAGATTTTTATCTCCAGCTTGCGAGACTGTTGCCACTCGGAAAAACGATGGCGAAAATTAGCAGTTTCAGAGTTTTTAATTAATATCTCTGATTTTAGCTAATTTGTTTTGGAAAAATGGTGAACGTCGACGTCTCTAAGAACCCGGAAAAGAATCGTAGAAAGTTTGCTAGATATAATAGTGACTGAGGTAATCGTGAACAAACACACAAACAGACATTCTTCTTTACATATATAGATAACAAATCTACTTTAATGCCAGTTGAGATAAATTCAAGGATGTAACTAAACTAATAAATGAGTAAACGGTTATGGATGAAACTGTATCTTTAATGGCAGGGGAGTATATATTTAATACATTAACTGTTTAATGCTCATTTCAAATGAGGAGTAAAATGTTTATTTTGTACACCGGTTCATGAGCATTACGATAAAAGAAAAAGAGATTGTATGAGTAGTTTAGATATTGGTTTTAAAATGCATAAAATAAGAAATGCTTAACGTTTATTACTAGCATTTATAAACTATATAAAATTTCAAGATTTTTATAACCCTTTTAAGGCATAACGTGCAAGTAGTATTTTATAAAAACAGATTACATTCGCCATTTAACAACAGTTGTTCTTAAATTGGTTTCTTCAGAGTTTCAAAAGAAACAGATGACATAACTTCTAGCAAGATGAAGATCTTTCCAAGGAACAAAAGTGTTAGAGGACAGAGACGACGAACGCAAGAAAGATGTATTGTGAGATAAGTTGGTGGCGCCGCTAGCTGGAAAAGAACAAAATTCGCGATTACATTAACGGGGTTGCAGAAACGGATGAAAAACTGAGCACTTATCTTCTTTCAGGAGTTGAAAATACCGCTTCACGTTCGAACATTAGCCTTTCGAAGGTATTTCTCGAGGAAGTAAAATATATAATTCGGAACAGTTGTTGTTTTTAAATTACATTTTCTGTTACCAGATACTTCGCGAAAATGAGGAACAATACAAATGGGCAACTTGTAAGGATCCTAAGTTTTACTAACGTTTATTTTATTTTAAAATTGTACTATCACTTCTTATTTTCTACTTCCGGCCAGAATTAAATGCTTTAACTTGTTCATGCAAATTATCTTGCTAACGCCCAAGTAATTAGGTTGTGGCATTTTGCCCAGCTCGGCGTACTACATACGTACCTTTTTTTTTAAATAAAGGCCAGTCTTAGTGCTAGGCATTTGTATACTAATTCAAAGTTAGCTTTTTAGTTAGAGTTTTAGTTAGTAGTTTTATATTCTTACGTTCAGACCACAAGTGGTTGGTCTCTGTATCCCGAAGTTCGGAAGTGCCTGTAAAGTATTGAAAATAAAGGGTTTCGTATACCCTTCCTGCTTGTGTCGTCTGTTGTACACAAATCTTGAACATACGAGGGCAATCCCCCCAAAAAAAGGACTCCTATTTTTGGGGACGTAGAGAAAGTTTTAATACGGTTGTTGGCAACACTGTTGTGAGTGGTGCCTTCTCCGCTACCACATGAGCACGCAGGCACTTCGCTCGGATGCTCAGTCTTGGCTTGGCAGCCATTCCAAATGGAGCTCCCGATAAACGTTACCGCCAAGTGCGAAGTGCGCACAGTTATTCGATTTTAAACGCAAAAGGCGTTAAACCAGTTGAAATTCACCGCCTATTGACGGAAGTGTATGGACAGTCGTGCATGGATGTCAAAAACGTTCGCAAGTGGTGTAGAGAGTTTACAGCCGGTCGTACTGAAATTCATGACGAAGAAAGGAGCGGGAGGCCGTCAATTGCCGATGAGTTGTTGAGTTTGTATTCTTTGAGTTTCGCGATTGTTGAGTTCGTAAAATGCGTAAAGATCGGAGGATCATCTGGATGCTCCTGAAGCTCCTCAACACTTCCTGAAGGGCATGGCGGCAAGCTGGTATGACATGGGCATTGTAAAACTGCCACAGCGTCTACAAAAATGCATCGACCGAAATGGCGATTATGTTGAAAATTAAAGCATTCTTCAATCTTTAAAGTGATGTAGCAATTAAAATAAACGGTTCTTTGTATATCTAAAAATATAAAAGACCTTTTTTTTTTTTTTTTTTTTTTTTTTTTTTTTTTTTGAGATTGCCCTTGTAGCTTGAGTAAGCTCCCTGTTCTTATTCGGGGCATTCTATGTTTCCAAAGGAACACAAGTCCTGACAAACTAAGATATTCCATTTAGATATTCATTATTTTTAGAAGCACATCTTGTAACAGTGAATTCTTCTATAACTCCACAAGAAATATATAAATTAGATAAATCATTCCCATCATATTTTAAATAGGATAATAATGAGCTGCCTAGGCTATATGGGGGCTAGTGAAGCTTACTTGCATGCAGGATTTGAATTCATAGTAACTGCTAACTAAACCTTTTACGCGCCTCGTCAACTTAATGACACTACCCAACTCAATCCCCCCGATATTAGGCACGGGGCGAGCTTCCCAGCAAAAAGCCACCTTGCAGATGGTCATACACTCCAACTGAGGTCCCGGTGCCCACACCACCAGGAACGACATAATCAAAAATAACTCCACCTGCTAAGCAGGCCCACCGCTACACTGGTCAACCAAGACCACCGTCCCAGCGATCAGAGACCACGAAGGGATGGGCTGAATGCCTGGAGCTATGACTGATCGTCAATGATGCTACCCGCGAGTACTAGACGGGCTACCCCTCCTTCTAGGCCTTGCACGGAATACCAAGGACAGCGGTAACTGGACGCTCAATGGCCCAGGCGCTATTTGGCTACCGATGCCCTAGTTACGGGGATTTAAGCCACCCGACCCGTGAAGAGAGAAGATAGGCCCCACCCTACGGATCATCGGGAGCCTCCAGGCTGGTAATTATTATACCCCGTGGCCGAGACTGCCTACTCAGTGCTTCGCAGAGTACTCTACGTCGATCCCCGGGGGGATTCATAGTAAGACTTAAGCATTTGTAAGTGTAGTGTGAATGGGAAGTAAGAGCAGTCGGAATATCCTTTAGTGTGAAATTTCTCTTAAGAAGTCGTCGCAAAGAAAGAGAAAGTAACAGACCTTCAGATTTCATTCCAATGGGAAGATCTTTC